GGGGGGGGGGGGGGGTGAATAGTTATGCATGCTCAAGTTTTCTGTTTCTTTGTCTTATTTCTTATATTTTGCATCTTCAAAGTGGTAGGCATGTTGTGTAAATCAAATGATACAAACCCCCCAAAAAATCAATTTTAATTCCAGGTTGTAATGCAACAAAATAGGACAAATGCCAAGGGGGGGTGAATACTTTCGCAAGCCACTGTATTCCTGCGCCTGTCTTCAAATCCTTATACAATGTGACAGTGGCTACTTTGAAGAATCTAAAATCTAAAATATATTTTGATTTGTTTAACACTTTTTTGGTTACTACATGATTCCATATGTGTTATTACATACTTTTGATGTCTTCACTATTATTCTACAATGTAGGAAATTGTAAAAATTAAGAAAAACCCTTGAATGAGTAGGTGTGTCCACACTTTTGACTGGTACTGTATGTATTCATCAAAAATATTACCAGAATAGTGTTTGTAGAACAAAGGAGGTGGGGTATGCTTCATGATCAACAGCTCTCGACTGTCGTAATGTAGAAACTCTTTCGACATTTTGTTCACCCGATCAGGAATACCTCCCAAGAGAATTCTCATCGGTTTTCATCATGGCTGTTCACATTCCTCCCCAAGAGTGTACAAAACATTAGGAACACCTTCATAATATTACGATGCACCCCCTTTTGCCCTCTGAACAGCCTGAATTTGTCGGGACATGGTCTCTACAAGGTGTCGAAAGCATTCCACAGGGTTGCTGGCCCATGTTGACTCCAATGCTTCCCACAGTTGTGTCAAGTTGGCTGGATGTCCTTTGGGTGGTGGACCATTCTCAATACACACGGGAAACTGTTGAGTGTGAAAAACCCAGCAGCGTTGCAGTTCTTGACACACTCAAACCGGTGCGCCTGGCACCTACTACCATACCCCTTTCAAAGGCTCTTCAATCTTTTGTCTTGCCCATTCACCCTCTGAATGGACCACAAACAATCCATGTCTCAATTGTCTCAAGGCTTAAAGATCGACACTGATTGAAGTGGATTTAACAAGTGACATCAATAAGGGATCATAGCTTTCACCTGGATTCACCTGGTTAGTCTGTTTCAAGTTGAAGTTTTAATGTCACATGCACAAGTACAGTGAAATGCCTTTCTTGCAAACTCAAAACCCAACAAAGCAATAATTAATAACAATGTAATATTAGAAAAACAACACATGAGAAATAAGAAGAAATATGAAGAACACAATAAGTAAGTAAGCAAGCATACTACATACAGGGTCAGATCCAATACCATATTTACATGTGCAGGGTAAACAGAGTAGCAGCAGCTTGTATGTGAGTGTGTGTGTGTGTGTGTGTGTGTGTGTGTGTGTGTAGAGTCAGTATAAATGTATGTGCATATAATGTGTGAGTGAGCAGATGATGGCGTGAGGGTGTGTGAGTGTGTAGGGCCCTGTGAGTGTGTGTGTGAGTGTGTATGGCCCTGTGAGTGTGCATAGAGACAGCGCAAAACTAAAAATATAAGGTCAATAAGGATGCAAGGTTAACTCATATAGTCCATGAAGCTATTTTGTTCGCTATTTATCAGTCTTATTGCTTGGGGATAAAAGCTGTTCAAGAGCCTGTTGGTGCCAGACTTGATGCACCGGTACCGCTTGTCGTGCGGAAGCAGAGAGAACAGTCTATGTCTTGGGTGGTTGGAGTCTTTAAAGATTTTCCGGGCCTTCCTATCACACCGCCTGGTATAGATGTCATGGAAGGGGCAGGTGTTCCTAATGTTTTGTACACTCAGTGTAATACCATTGACAGTCGTTACAAATAACCATCCCACAATAGGGAAGGGGTAGCTAAAGGTTCATAGTCCCCCAGACTACCCGCCACACCACCAGAACACCCCACCCTCTTCAGCCCACTACCTCGGTGTGTTGGAGACACAAAGGCAAATAAACAACCAATTACACTAACAAACTACAAAAGAACATAAACAGGAATTAGATAGAAAAAAATTAACAACCACCATAAATACAACTACAAAAATAATAATGTTGTCATATGACTGGTGATTAGGAGCACCTTTCCTATTTCTATGAAATCAGGCCCATCCCTCTTTAAGTGTTATTTGGTCCCACTTATCAGTAAAATCTTGAGACCTCCCACTTTCTTTTGCAATCAAACCTTCTAGTGTATAATACTGTTTAACCGTTATTTTTAACAGAATCCAATACTAACATATTTGTTTTCTGAGTTTTAAAAATGAAAACCTTCCTCAGCAGAATCAAGAGATTGTATATTGTGTTACATCTGTCCCTTAAGTCACCCAATTTAACTTTTTGTGGACATATAACAAAATCATGTAAAACAGGGAGTAACCACTCTTGTACTTTTGCCCAAAAGTTAGCAACTATGGCCCCATTAATACCAGAAAAGATGTAACAAATCCTCCTATTCCACAACCCATTCTTCGATGCCCCATATTTGAAATACCAAAAACCTGTTTCCAAGGGATGGAAGTATCAAACTGCTCTTCCCAGAAAGAGTGGAATTTGTGTGGGATGGCACCCAATTTGTTGTTCTCCAAATGAAAATGGTACATGTCTTTAATGATTTGAACTCTAGTTAACCATCTGTGAGATTTAATATGAGGTCTACAAACCAACCGTTTCTCTTTCCTTTCCCTTAACTTCTTCTTCCATTCTGTAGGAATTGCTGCCAGTAACTGATTGTTATTATGATTTTATTGATATTTGAATTCAACCATATGATTTGGCTCTGAATTTATGTTATTTTTCCCAGGGGATAAGTCAGTCTAAGTAAATAATTTGAGCTGATGGCAAAAATTGACCAAATACTATGTTTTTAAGAGATCCACCCAATACAATGTTCATTGTTGTTTGATATAGTCATTTTCAAAGAGCATGTGACCATTTCAACTTGTCCCAACATTCCTTTATCAGCCTGCAAACATTGCATAAACTCCCATACAACAAGACATACAGTGGGGAAAAAAAGTATTTAGTCAGCCACCAATTGTGCAAGTTCTCCCACTTAAAAAGATGAGAGAGGCCTGTAATTTTCATCATAGGTACACGTCAACTATGACAGACAAATTGAGGAAAAAAAAATCCAGAAAATCACATTGTAGGATTTTTAATGAATTTATTTGCAAATTATGGTGGAAAATAAGTATTTGGTCACCTACAAACAAGCAAGATTTCTGGTTCTCACAGACCTGTAACTTCTTCTTTAAGAGGCTCCTCTGTCCTCCACTCGTTACCTGTATTAATGGCACCTGTTTGAACTTGTTATCAGTATAAAAGACACCTGTCCACAACCTCAAACAGTCACACTCCAAACTCCACTATGGCCAAGACCAAAGAGCTGTCACCAGAAACAAAATTGTAGACCTGCACCAGGCTGGGAAGACTGAATCTGCAATAGGTAAGCAGCTTGGTTTGAAGAAATCAACTGTGGGAGCAATTATTAGGAAATGGAAGACATACAAGACCACTGATAATCTTCCCTCGATCTGGGGCTCCACGCAAGATCTCACCCCGTGGGGTCAAAATGATCACAAGAACGGTGAGCAAAAATCCCAGAACCACACGGGGGGACCTAGTGAATGACCTGCAGAGAGCTGGGACCAAAGTAACAAAGCCTACCATCAGTAACACACTACGCCGCCAGGGACTCAAATCCTGCAGTGCCAGACGTGTCCCCCTGCTTAAGCCAGTACATGTCCAGGCCCGTCTGAAGTTTGCTAGAGTGCATTTGGATGATCCAGAAGAGGATTGGGAGAATGTCATATGGTCAGATGAAACCAAAATAGAACTTTTTGGTAAAAACTCAACTCGTCGTGTTTGGAGGACAAAGAATGCTGAGTTGCATCCAAAGAACACCATACCTACTGTGAAGCATAGGGGGTGGAAACATCATGCTTTGGGGCTGTTTTTCTGCAAAGGGACCAGGACGACTGATCCGTGTAAAGGAAAGAATGAATGGGGCCATGTATCGTGAGATTTTGAGTGAAAACCTCCTTCCATCAGCAAGGGCATTGAAGATGAAACGTGGCTGGGTCTTTCAGCATGACAATGATCCCAAACACACCGCCCGGGCAACGAAGGAGTGGCTTCGTAAGAACCATTTCAAGGTCCTGGAGTGGCCTAGCCAGTCTCCAGATCTCAACCCCATAGAAAATCTTTGGAGGGAGTTGAAAGTCCGTGTTGCCCAGCGACAGCCCCAAAACATCACTGCTCTAGAGGAGATCTGCATGGAGGAATGGGCCAAAATACCAGCAACAGTGTGTGAAAACCTTGTGAAGACATACAGAAAACGTTTGACCTGTGTCATTGCCAACAAAGGGTATATAAGAAAGTATTGAGAAACTTTTGTTATTGACCAAATACTTATTTTCCACCATAATCTGCAAATAAATTCATAAAAAATCCTACAATGTGATTTTCTGGAAAATACATTCTCATTTAGTCTGTCATAGTTGATGTGTACCTATGATGAAAATTACAGGCCTCTCTCATCTTTTTAAGTGGGAGAACTTACACAATTGGTGGCTGACTAAATACTTTTTTTCCCCCACTGTAAATAAAGGTGTGAAAAACATACAAAGCTACTCTTTTGGAGTGGGTATCATATCAATTTGTTCATAGGAATGGGGAGATTAAGATAAGACTGTTAAAGCTTTGCAATCCCAGAGTGGACACATTTTTTCACTGGCCCATGGACTATGTAGAGATATCTCTATATATGGTTCTGGTACCTTGTCCTCTATTTTTACTTAAATAATAATAAAAATAATAATAATAATATGCCATTTAGCAGACGCTTTTATCCAAAGTGACTTAAATTTTTTTTTGTGTATGGGTGGTCCCGGGGATCGAACCCACTACCTTGGCGTTACAAGCGCCGTGCTCTACCAGCTGAGCTACAGAGGACTTAACATCTTTATATTGACAAAACATAACTACTTATACATACAACACAAGATAAAATCTTACCTGACGTGAAAAAGATACTTTCTGCAACGAATCCATGGGTTCAGAATCTGAAACAATATTGGCACTAGGTGAGATGGTGAACCAGAAGTGATCAATGGCAAAGATAGGAGGTGTGCCCTCTTTCTGTCTCTATGGGTACATACTGAGCGGGTTTAGGCTGGCAGAGGCAGACCAGCACACAGGCTCTCCTCCCCTGCGCCTCCTCTTCCTGCACACGTCAGAGAGGTATGAGTCCACCTCTTTCACCTGAGAGCAGAGAGGTCAATGAAGGGTAATCTCAAATCAATCGATATACACAGACTATACACAGCTTTACGTGTACTGTTGTAAATAGCTACGGCTCTGTTAGACTGTGGCACCATGCAGGACCTAGTAGTAAATGGCAGATATTGTTTGAACAGATTCAGTGTTCAGACGTCTGTCTGTCTGTCTACTGTCAGTCTGTTTGTCTACTGTCTGTCTGTCTTACAGTGTCTGAAGAACTCTCCTCCAGGATCTTGACTGTCTTCCTGCCCTGACACCTCTCTCTGCTCCCTGAGGTCACTGCCAGGTCAAACCATTCGGACCACTCTGCAAAACACAACCAGGACAGGTAGAATCACTAGAGATACATTGGGAAACTGATTAGTGTCATGGAATGTTTTACCTTTTAGGTATTTGTACTCGTACATGGATATATGGTATATAATACAAATGTGAGGAAAAAAAAGGTAACTGATCCTTGTATGTATGTTGTTGCTAATGTTAACCAAGCATAAGAGCAATGTTCCCTATAAACTGCGCCTCGGGACGGCCGCGCATTAGAAATATCAGCCCACGCAGAGAAGCACGAGATTGAACTTCACTCAACTTTCTAGAGTTTTCCCCCTTAGTTAACACTATCAATGTTTTCCCACTCCAGTGACGGCGTTGGCTGCAGGAGGAGGTGTGGCCCCACAGCAGGTAGGGTGGGGTGCTGCGGTAGGCCCTGGGGATGTGGCAGGGCAAAATGTCAACGGCGCCTCCTTTCCCCCTTAGTTAACACTATCAATGTTTCCCTTTACTGTGGGAATTGTGATCGAATCAACGCAATATTAGCCACTTTCAATGCAACATAGCGAAACAAAACGAACTATGCAAGGCTTAGTATGCAAAACTAACTATGCAAGAGATTTTGTCGTCGGCAGAACGCATTGGAGTAAGATTCTATTGCATTGACGCGCATGACTCAGCCCGTACTATACACTCTACACAGACCGGTGCGGTATAACCAATCAGAGCTGCAGCAGGACTATATGCAAATACATGCAATTGGACCATTGCCATATATGGATTTGTGCCAGTCACTTTGAACTGGACTGTGTTTACAGCACGAGCGGTCGTGAGTAGGTTGCTTGTTTTGAGATCAAAGCGAGAGCTTCATGTAGCCACGTGTGCACATTTGTTCATATCCTTTGCTAGTTAGTGAGTTATTAGTCCTGTTATAGATCATTCGTAGTCAGCAATGGGGGAGGGATTGCCTCCTACAAGAGCACAAAACGTGTACATTTCTAGACATCTTTGAAAAGCAAGTCAGGTAAAGAGGGGTTTTTTTTGTCTTAAAGGGGCAGTGTTGTTTTCACAATGTTCAAGTTTGCGCTAAGCAGACATGAAATTTGCTCAGTGCCGAAACATTTTTGAGGGTACATTGCATAAGAGGGTGGTACAGTACCTCTGCTTTTACTGCAGCCAAGGGGTCTGTCAGCTGTGAAGCTTCCCCCCTCTGACAGGCAATCGAGGGCGGGGAAGGAGGCTCGTAGCGGGCTCAGGGGGACACCAGAGAGAGCCATGTTCTCCATGCTAGAGGAGAGAGAGCGGCTGTGACTGTAGGGCCGGTCCCTGGACAGACCCACCCACCGGTGAGGACGCTTCCTGCCCCACTGGCCCCGTCTGGAGCGAGCTGCCCCAGGGTCATCGTCCTTACAGAAGGCGGGGTTCACCAAACCCCTGGAACCACAGCCTTTCTCATCCTGTGGGTCCGACAACAGAAAGGCATGACTAGAGGTCCTGGACACATTCACATCAAAGGGCTGCCCAACCTCCTCCCGTTCCTCTTCCATGGACATCTCAGGGTCGCAGCAGACCCTGGGTTTGCCGTGTGGGGGTTCCAGAGAACTGTCTATAGCCCAGGCCGAAGGGTACGGGGGAGAGCCACAGCGGGAAGGCACGCACGACTCACAGGGGGTCCTGTCCCTGAGCCCTGCACCGCCCAGGTGAGGGAGGAAGCCATGGGGGGCGAAGCGGTAACCCACTGGCCAGACTTCGCCACTGTGATGCACCGTGACACCATGTACCTCCTCATCCTCAGTCTCGCCAGCCCCCCGCCCTCCATGGTTGCCGCCCCCCCAGGCCCCCGTGTGCCACTCCAGTGACGGGCGTTGGCTGCGGGAGGAGGTGTGGCCCCACAGCAGGGAGGGTGGGGTGCTGCGGTAGGCCCTGGGGGTGTGGCAGGGCATGATGTCAACACTGCCTCCACCTCCGTGGGGGAGGGTCCAGCTGTGGGGGACATGGTGATGGGAGGGGGTGATTGGCCGACAGCGGCCCAGGCGGGCCTCCTCCTGCTGCAGGCTGTCGGAGGCCGACAGGAGGGTGAGGGTGTCCACGGCCAGGGCGGACAGGTCCTGCAGCTGACCCAGCTGGCTGTCCAGCACCTGCAGGGTGTCCTGGATGAAGTGGACCCTGTCCGACACCTCTCCCATAACCACAACCATCTCCTCAGCCCTGTCAGGTCAAGAACATAGACATACATTCAGGGGAATCACAAAGAGAAAGTCTCAATGGCTATTGAGAGAAAGATGACACTCTTTCTAAGTACCAGTCTCACCTTTCTGCAGTGGCTCGGACCATGTTGATCTGGCTGCAGAGAACATCTTGGTTTTTCTCATGGAAATACGACACCAAACACCTCTCCTCAAACTCATGCAGCCTCTTCAGGTCCTCTTGGCCCAGATAAAGCTCTGACAGAGGGAGAGAGAGATTACAAACAAGCCCATTTTTCCAACACACAATCTACTGTAGCATTTATCTACCGTGTGGAAATGCTGTGAATCAATAATGTCATAGAAAACAGTGTAGTAGGCTAAGGCTATATCAGACTTTTAATGTGCGCGCACACACACACACACACACACACACACACACACACACACACACACACTCACTAAGCCCACAGGAGTCCCTCTCCTGCTCGGACGAGCCTCTGTGTTTCCGGTAAATGGCGTTCACACACAGGTTCATGTGACTCAGGATAATGAGGGGCGGGGGCAACCACGGCTTCTCCTGATAGGTCATAATGTAGCGGTAGCGGTTGTACTTCCACAGCTTATTGGATATGGACTTCATGTCAATGTAGACATTGCTGTCAAAAAGGATCCATAAGAAACAGTACAGCACTCAGAGAAGCTGCAAAACCCCATTTGTACAGAAAGCATAAAACATAAAGACACAATCAGACACACAGAGTCAAAAGACAATTTATATTTTGGATGGAGAGTTGAGAGTCCCTACTTGAAGAAGGCAATAAGGATGTTGACCATGATGATGTACTGGAAGAAGAGGTAGACAGCCTGGAGGAACGGGGTGAGGAAGGCCCCGGGGACACACGGCGTGTCACCTGCACAGGCTGTCACAAACACACATGGGATGTCTCAAATGACACCCTATTCCCATTGAATGTGGCCAATGCAGGAGTCTACCTACACAACTCTTGCGTTGCAAGCAGCGCCAACCAAGTGAACCACTACTGTGACTGGTCACTGGTTAGTGGTTACTCACCGTCTATTTCCCCTGCGTACACTTCTCCAAAAATCATCCAGTACGGCTGGTTGACCACATCTCTGAGCAGGCTCCATGATAGAGCTTCGTCTGGAGACAAGATGGCTTTCCTGGACACGCCGAAACTCAGCAGCACGATCGCCATCATCACCACAATGTAGAACATGTTACTGGTCTGAGCAGATGGGTTAGAGAACACATCAACAACAACAAAAAACATGACTTCATTTTGTTTGTAAAATTAAGATATGTGCTGTATGGTCAGTCAGTGTTCTACCCCAGCACTAGGGGGGCACACAACGGTGTGCAATTTTGTTCTAGCCCAACACTAACAAACCTATATCAACTTATCAAAATGTGCATCACTTTTGACTAGGGCCCATAGCATGCCATGTCGGACTCACTCTAGGTGTTAGCCCAAGGAAGGAAAGGCACATGTCTTTACTCACCATCTTGGTGATCATGGTGAGGTAGGCTCCGGCATGCTGGTTGACCGCCAGCAGGTCCAGCACCCGAACATACCAGAAGATGATGTCCAGGCAGTAGGTAATCCGCCCGGCAGTCCGGTAGAACCCGCTGTCCCAACGTAGCACCAGCCCCACCAGGAAGAGGAGGATAGCTAGGAAGTCAGACACATTCCAGTATTCTCCAAACCACACCTTCAGCTTTTGACTGGGATTCCTCGGCTCCGACATGAACACCTAACAAGTAGTCACAACCCACACATCACTATTATTTAAATGAGTTAACAATTTAAAATATACATATACAGCCAGTATACATACATTTAGTTTCATTCAGTGTTATTGGTGAAGAAAGCACTGTTGTTAGTGTTTGTTAGTAGCCTAGTACTGTATTAACAGATGATAGCCTTATTTCTGGCTATTTTGCACAACACAGTAATATGTGGATGTCCATGTAATATAGCTGTATGCAGTCAGAGACAGCTATGATGATCAAAGTATTTGACTATAATTAGGCTACTGAGTTGCCTACACAATGTAGGGTGTGGCTAGCATGGCAACCTCTTACATCATGTTATGTCATAAAACATACTGTATAAATAATAGAATTAGGATTTAAAATACTAATTAATTAAGTCATTGTATATGATCTCTATGGCATAAATAATGACTGGCAGTGTGATTGGTTATTATTGTGATTCTCACATGCTTGATGATAAGTTGATGTATAATATTATTACTTTATGTTAAGATGGTAAGTTAATGACCACTAGTACGTTAGTGAACGTACAATATATTTATGGGTAGTGACGTGCAGAATGGTCATTCTTTTTTCAAGAAGAGCAGTGAGCAAGACAATATGGAGATTTTTTGTGAAGAGCCTGTTAAACTCTAAGTGGTTGTTTTGGAAAGTGACATATCATTTCAAAGCTACAGTCCTTGTCTTTATGGAAATCTCCCACCCACCGCCCCTCCATAAAAGCCATAAATCATGCGCTATGGTCATTTTCATCGAATATGCAATGTAGGTCAAGTCACAAAATGCAAACATTTAGTATGCATGGAAAGGGTACACATACTGATGGTCGTTGTAAAGAAATGCATTTCCTTCTCCATCCACATTACCTTATATGCATCCTCCACGTGCCATTGATCTAGCTCAACGTTTACAATAGGAAAATAAGTTAGAAGTTTCCTCACTTGTCTGGGTCTTACTTTTTTACTCCATAACTTGAAAGCCCTGATTGCTAAGGTAATTTTATGTCAGCCTTGAAAATCTGTTCCGCCATTTTTTAGCACAATGACTCACTACCCAAACCAGACGCAACTGGTTTCAAGTGACAAAGAGACATTATGTGATCTCCTACTGCTATCTAGTGGACATGGAATTCAGACTGTGGGTACCAGAGGTGGGACCACGTCACAATTATTCGAGTCACAAGCAATTCTCAAGTCACAAGGTCCAAGTCTCAAGTTGAGTCCCAAGTAGAACGGGTCGAGTCTCTAGTCAAGTTAAAGTCCTGCATTCTAAGGGACAGATCATCACATGACCCTCCCATTGTACTGTAAAATACATTTAACACCCTCCACCTCATAGAATTAAGGGACCATGTGTTTCTAAACGTGGATATCAACTTTGCCACTTCAGCATTCTTTTGTGGCCCAGTCGATGCCACGCAGGGCTACAGGCCAGAAGGTTCGCCGACCACCACAGACGAGCTCACTCTCCATGCCTGTTTCATTACTTCATGAGCTGCTTGCAGACAATGATCAGCTAGGGGGGAATCAGATTCTCAACATTTTGATGCCACATTTATATGCCAAGAGTGAGTGTGCAAAGCTGTCATCAAGGCAAAGGGTGGCTATTTGAAGAATCTCAAATATAAAATATATTTTGATTTGTTTAACACTTTTTTGGTTACTACATGATTCCATATGTGTTATAGTTTTGATGTTATTCTACAATGTAGAAAATAGTAAAAATATAGAAAAACCCTTGAATGAGTAGGTGAATCCAAACTTTTGACTGGTACTGTACATATACAGTATCTCACAAAAGTGAGTATACCCCTCACATTTTTGTAAATATTTGAGTATATCTTTTCATGTGACAACACTGAAGAAATGACACTTTGCTACAATGTAAAGTAGTGAGTGTACAGCTTGAATAACAGTGTAAATTTGCTGTCCCCTCAAAATAACAACACACAGCCATTAATATCTAAACCACTGGCAACAAAAGTGAGCACACCCCTAAGTGAAAATGTCCAAATTGGGCCCAAAGTGTCAATATTTTGTGTGGCCACCATCATTGTCCATGACTGCCTTAATCCTCTTGGGCATGGAGTCCCCTGACGACATCACGGAGCTGGTGGACGTTAGAGACCTTGCACTCCTCCACCTCCCGTTTGAGGATGCCCCACAGATGCTCAATAGGGTTTAGGTCTGGAGACATGCTTGGCCAGTCCATTACCTTTACCCTCAGCTTTTTTAGCAAGGCAGTGGTCGTCTTAGAGGTGTGTTTGGGGTCGTTATCATGTTGGAATACTGCCCTGCGGCCCAGTCTCCGAAGGGAGAGGATCATGCTCTGCTTCAGTATGTCACAGTACATGTTGGCATTCATGGTTTCCTCAATTAACTGTAGCTCCCCAGTGCCGGCAGCACTCATGCAGCCCCAGACCATGACACTCCCACCACCATGCTTGACTGTAGGCAAGACACACTTGTCTTTGTACTCCTCACCTGGTTGCCGCCACACACGCTTGACAAAATCTGAACCAAATATGTTTATCTTGATCTCATCAGACCACAGGACATGGTTCCAGTAATCCATGTCCTTAGTCTGCTTGTCTTCAGCAAACTGTTTGCGGGCTTTCTTGTGCATCATCTTTAGAAGAGGCTTCCTTCTGGGATGACAGCCATGCAGACCAATGTAATGCAGTGTGTGGTGTATGGTCTGAGCACTGACAGGCTGACCCTCCACCCCTTCAACCTCTGCAGCAATGCTTGCACCACTCATACGTCTATTTCCCAAAGACAACCTCTGGATATGACGCTGAGCACGTGCACTCAACTTCTTTGGTCGACCATGGCGAGGCCTGTTCTGAGTGGAACCTGTCCTGTTAAACCGCTGTATGGTCTTGGCCACCGTGCTGCAGCTCAGTTTCAGGGTCTTGGCAATCTTCTTATAGCCCAGGCCATCTTTATGTATGTTATTTTTTTCAGATCCTCAGAGAGTTCTTTGCCATGAGGTGCCATGTTGAACTTCCAGTGACCAGTATGAGGGAGTGTGAGAGCGATGACACCAAATTTAAACACACCTGCTCCCCAGTCACACCTGAGACCTTGTAACACTAACGAGTCACATGACACCGGGGAGAGAAAATTGCTAATTGGGCCCAATTTGGACATTTTCACTTAGGGGGTGTACTCACTTTTGTTGCCAGCGGTTTAGACATGAATGGCTGTGTGTTGAGTTATGTTGAGGGGACAGCAAATTTACACTGTTATACAAGCTGTACACTCACTACTTTACATTGTAGCAAAGTGTCATTTCTTCAGTAAAATGTGAGGGGTGTACTCTTTTGTGAGATAATGTGTATATATATATATATATATATATATACACACAGTGGGGGAAAAAAGTATTTAGTCAGCCACCAATTGTGCAAGTTCTCCCACTTAAAAAGATGAGAGAAGCCTGTAATTTTCATCATAGGTATACGTCAACTATGACAGACAAATTGAGAAAAAATTATCCAGAAAATCACATTGTAGGATTTTTAATGAATTTATTTTCAAATTATGGTGGAAAATAAGTATTTGGTCACCTACAAACAAGCAAGATTTCTGGCTCTCACAGACCTGTAACTTCTTCTTTAAGAGGCTCCTCTGTCCTCCACTCGTTACCTGTATTAATGGCACCTGTTTGAACTTGTTATCAGTATAAAAGACACCTGTCCACAACCTCAAACAGTCACACTCCAAACTCCACTATGGCCAAGACCAAAGAGCTGTCAAAGGACACCAGAAACAAAATTGTAGACCTGCACCAGGCTGGGAAGACTGAATCTGCAATAGGTAAGCAGCTTGGTTTGAAGAAATCAACTGTGGGAGCAATTATTAGGAAATGGAAGACATACAAGACCACTGATAATCTCCCTCGATCTGGGGCTCCACGCAAGATCTCACCCCGTGGGGTCAAAATGATCACAAGAACGGTGAGCAAAAATCCCAGAACCACACGGGGGGACCTAGTGAATGACCTGCAGAGAGCTGGGACCAAAGTAACAAAGCCTACCATCAGTAACACACTACGTCGCCAGGGACTCAAATCCTGCAGTGCCAGACGTGTCCCACTGCTTAAGCCAGTACATGTCCAGGCCCATCTGAAGTTTGCTAGAGTGCATTTGGATGATCCAGAAGAGGATTGGGAGAATGTCATATGGTCAGATGAAACCAAAATAGAACTTTTTGGTAAAAACTCAACTCGTTGTGTTTGGAGGACAAAGAATGCTGAGTTGCATCCAAAGAACACCATACCTACTGTGAAGCATGGGGGTGGAAACATCATGCTTTGGGGCTGTTTTTCTGCAAAGGGACCAGGACGACTGATCCGTGTAAAGGAAAGAATGAATGGGGCCATGTATCGTGAGATTTTGAGTGAAAACCTCCTCCCATCAGCAAGGGCATTGAAGATGAAACGTGGCTGGGTCTTTCAGCATGACAATGATCCCAAACACACCGCCCGGGCAACGAAGGAGTGGCTTCGTAAGAAGCATTTCAAGGTCCTGAAGTGGCCTAGCCAGTCTCCAGATCTCAACCCCATAGAAAATCTTTGGAGGGAGTTGAAAGTCCGTGTTGCCCAGCGACAGCCCCAAAACATCACTGCTCTAGAGGATATCTGCATGGAGGAATGGGCCAAAATACCAGCAACAGTGTGTGAAAACCTTGTGAAGACTTACAGAAAACGTTTGACCTGTGTCATTGCCAACAAAGGGTATATAACAAAGTATTGAGAAACTTTTGTTATTGACCAAATACTTATTTTCCACCATAATTTGCAAATAAATTCATAAAAAATCCTACTATGTGATTTTCTGGAGAAAAAAAATTCTCAATTTGTCTGTCATAGTTGACGTGTACCTATGATGAAAATTACAAGCCTCTCTCATCTTTTTAAGTGGGAGAACTTGCACAATTGGTGGCTGACTAAATACTTTTTTCCCCCACTGTACATACATACACACACAGTATAACCCACCAAAACTAGGCCTATCTGAAATATGAAAATGATCAATGAAATCACCAGGTAGCCTATTCTTCTGGCAAAGATAAAGTGTATTTTCTATGGATAATATGAATGTAGGTAGGCTACTCTGTTTTTTGCCAGAGAAAATTAAACAAGTGCTTTCTGGTCACTAATCTGGATATGTGCTCCCGCCTTTGCACACCAATGCTGATGACTGGTCATTGGTCAACAGTCAAGACAGGCAACTTTTTGGTTCTGAAGCATGGATTAGATTAGCTCAATAATGGACTAATGGAGCCTAACGTTCATAGCCGCGGGAAGTAGGGCTGCTGAGGGTGCTGCAGCACCACTTGATAAATCACAATCCAAAAATAATGAATGTTAAAATTAAAATCACCAAATTAGTGCTGTAGGCCTTTATTACTCCTGTATCAGCAGAGAAAAATGAAACCAACCTTACTGAAGCACTTTACTCCTATCATTCTCTATTGGCCTCTGCCTACTCACAGGACTAGACGCTTTGTTGCATATTACTGCCTTTCACAGGTCAGAGAGTGAATTGCACATTTTGTTCACAAAAACAGGAAAAGGGGAAAAACAAATTGCACCACCATTTAACCATAGATATACGTAGCCGCGGGAAGTAGGGCTGCTCAGGGTGCTGCAGCACCCCGTTATAAATCACAGTTGCAGCCAACAGTATTTTTCAGTGACAACACATTTGTGTCATCCTTCTAATGTTTGCACACAGGTGTTCGGAGACGCAGATAGCTAACTAGCACAGGCACGCCTTTGTCTGTTTTCAAGTGCTGCAACATGGAAATATGAATGTGTGGGAACCCTAACCCTATAAAGGTGTGTAGTAATTGAATCTTTAGTTTTTTGAAAATTATGTATTCACTGATATGAAAGATATGTTCCTTAAGTTTCCAAAATTGTACCGCAAGCGATGCATTTTAACGTTCAGAATGAGCATCAGGGATCTTAACAAAACTCCCCCAGCCAGAAGATGCTATTATCAACAGGTGTTAGTGTCTATGAATGGGTTAGGATTAGATGTTTTTGAAACAATACTTTTTGTGCAATGTAGTAGGCTTCTGTTAGTGACCAGATTGAATAAGCAAAAGTATAAATATAAAATACAAATGGTAGGCTATATGTATGAAAAAATATAAAAATGTCACACTCGAGAGTCGTCATCCCCCAAAACCTTCTAATGCGCTGGCTCACCCGACCTGTGTTGATTGACAGTTTGCTTGTCCAATCAGAGGGTCGAGTGTGCGTTTCGCTAGCCAATCTGTTGCACTTTCTTCATTTTTATTGCAATTGTGATGCTGGCATTCTGCGGCTACAGTTTCTGACTGTGTGGAGATTAATGAGTGACAAAACATTACAAAAGCTGGCCAGATCATTTTCAAGTCATCAGTCTCAAGTCAAAGTCGAGTCCCGAGTCTTGAGGCTCCAAGTCAAGTCTCAAGTTATTTTATTTTCTATCAAGTCGAGTCTCAAGTCATCAAATTTGTGACTCGAGTCCACACCTCTGACGGGTACGAGGTTGAACAGTGATAAAAGAGGGGGAGAACATATGAGAGAGAACGAGACAGAGACAGAGTGGGAGGGAGGGAGTGAGAGAGGAGAAATAGAAAGAGAGGGAAAGAGAGATATAGAGATATAGAGATGGAATAAGAGAGGAAAGAAAGAGAGAGATGTGAGAGAGAGACCCTTTCAGGTGTAACATATAAGCTGTGTCAGACCTTTGAGTCTAACGTGCCAGAGATAAGACAGCCTCGTGTGTCAGGGCAGGTTTAGTCTTCAACTTATTATACACACTGTTACGGAACCAATAACTAGCCTGCTAATATTGATACGCTCGCTAAGTCCTAGGCTTAGTTAACTGGCCTGTAACCTGATTTAAGGAGAAAGCAACCTTCGGTCCAGCTCATTCTTGACTCCTCATGTGTCGGCTAGCCCGAGCGGATTATTGTTCATTCAAAATGGTGACCGAAATACATATAAACTAAAATAAACTAAAAAGGACATGTCCAAAACGAAGGATTCAACCTAAAACCAAAAGCCACATGGCCACCAAGAAAAAAAAACCTGCAGCCTCTCGGTTCTGCAAGCTTGCACACTAATCATCTTTCGATTCTTCCACCCGTGGGCTTAATAAGGCTTGGCATAGCACCTGCCCTGACCCGGTTGGTGCTGCCACCTGGGAATGGAGCGTGGAAGTGTATCCTGGTAGTGTGTTGCCTAACTGTATGCTAACAATTAAACTACCATCCATATCATAACAACACTCACCTCTCTTGTTTTCTCCACAGCGGTGGATATAATATAGGCAATGACCAGCCACTCCTGAGTGCTGGGCCGGTCCTCCATCTTTACCAGAACAGTGTAGGAGAACAGCATGAGAAAGGCCAGGTAGGACATCTAGACCACACAGTGAAACAGCATCAGACACATGGACCAGAGTGAGCACAATGAAAAAGGGATCTAGTCTAATCCCAGTCAATCATTTCAGACTGAGAAATATTTTCAACAAAGAAGGTCCCTCTTTATATAATATGCATGTCATGAGGCTTAGAAGAGTATAATGAGTGCATGCTGCTAGCTCACCGTGTGGAACCAGAACTTGACGACAGGAGCGGTGTAGAAATCGTACAGCCTCCTGGTCCAGAAGAAACACTGGGTGGTAACGGGTGTGATTGTGTCAGCTTCGGGGTCTGAGCAACTCTCCCACCATGCTGATCCCTTCTCCGCATCCTGGCCATCCTTCAGAGAACCAAGACATCAGGGTCACGTTCATTAGAGCACACAACAGAAAACGCTTTGCAACGGAAATCAATAATGAGCAAAGTCCCTCCCTGTTTCAGTCCATTTTCTACCATTTGGTTCCTAATAAATATGACCCTGGTATCAACATTAGCATCAAACTGAGATTAGAATGCCATGACAGACAGGAACTGGAAGGACTGAAATTCAGGGAGACTGGTATGGTGTACATTTTGGAACCTTAGTTACCGTATGCCCCCCCTCCTGGGCTGCCTCTGGTCTTCCTGTGTCCCAACCAAACTGCAAAGCCTCCTGGGACTGGGGCACATGGGACATCTCTGCCTGGCTCTTAAACTCCAATAGCAGGATGGCAGGGGGCATGAGGATGCTCAGGATGATCTGACACACACACACACACACACACACACACAGGAATAAGATTCAGACACATAAACACAAGTAATCTGAGGTAACTGCTGGAACAGCATAACATCGACTGACATTAATAGACTCAAAATAAAATTGAACTACTGCTTATTTATGCTGTCAATCAATCTTAGCATGGAAAGAACACTCAGGTGCACTGGCTCTACTTTTCAGAATCTTTAAAGGAGACAGTGCCTTGAACACTCAAACTGGTGGGCCTTGGGCCCAATACGGCCCATGATTTAATGCGATCCGCAGTTGTCTTAGTAAATTGTCTTGGTAAGTTGTCTTAGTAAATTGTCTCGGTAAGTTGTCTTAGTAAATTGTCTCGGTAAGTTGTCTTAGTAAATTGTCTTAGTAAATTGTCTTGGTAAGTTGTCTTGGTAAGTTGTCTTGGTAAGTTGTCTTAGTAAATTGTCTTGGTAAGTTGTCTTGGTAAGTTGTCTTGGTAAGTTGTCTTGGTCCTCTGTAGCTCAATTGGTAGAGCATGGCGCTTGTAACGCCAGGGTAGTGGGTTCGATCCCCTCGACCACCCATACGTAAAAATGTATGCACACATGACTGTAAGTCGCTTTGGATAAAAGTGTCTGCTAAATGGCATATTATTATAAGTTGTCTTGGTAAGTTGTCTTGGTAAGTTGTCTTGGTAAGTTGTCTTGGTAAGTGCGGCCCACAGATTTTGACGGCAGGGCAATACAGGGCTGCCCTCCGGACCTCTGTGAAGACAATTTGCCCCCCTAGACTTTGAGAGCCTGACCTTGAACCAGGAGTTCTTCCTCATGTTGAGGCGGCCGGTCCACAGGTCGGTGAGCAGCATCTGGGTGCAGGAGTGGGAGACAAAGGGGCGGAGCCGGGAGGACACAGCCATCTGCAGGCAGGTGAAGTGGCTCCAGTCCTCCATCTCCGAAGTCAGCAGCTTCATGGCCATGCGCTCGTTCTGTCTGAAGGCACGGTCCAGCACATCCACCGCCAGCTGACCAAAGTCCCTGCAGCCATCCATGCCACAACACACAAACATTGAGAAACACAGACTGGAAAACACACACTCAGAAACATAGTAATATACACACACAACTACAAAAGTTCACTCTGCTGAAACAACATACACAAAACCCCAGAGACACACAGAGAGCTTGGGACTATAAGGTTCTATCTGCATAAAAATAAAAATAAATGTTATTGACATAACATTGAACAGAACAAGGCTCTCTACCTATACAGTAGTCTAAATACTCCAATTCATGTTGTTAAGCTCAAAAATATACAAGATAAAAATCACTGCCACCATTCAAACCAATGACTGTTCAGAACATTAAAGCCAATTATCTCAGAATCATATTTTTGTAGATAGAATCTTATAGTCCCAAGCTCTCGACACTACTACTACATAAAACATTTTATGTCTATGAGGAAACACTGACATAGAGTAGGTTTTGAGCTGCTCCGCCGTGGTGTCATCCATGTTGCTCTGCCGAAACTCGTAGGCCATGGCACCATACAGCTTACAGGCAACTGTAGCCCGGGCCATGGCCTCCTCCCCGTGCTGCCACAGAAACAGCGCCATCTGCTGCCGCCTCTGCAGCACGGCCCACACAAACAGGTCATTGAAGCTGTAAACAAACAGAGGAGACTCGCCCAGCTCGGAGCTCTGCTGCTGGCCCACCTTCAGGTCCCTGAGCACCATGGATCTTTCCTGTAGAGATAGAGGAGAGAGAGAGAGGAGGGTGGGGAGAGGCGGCCAGCCAATAAGAACACTAATGTACAGGGGGTATTTGTAGCCACAGAATATACAGTACTAGCTATCAATAGCCTGTGTGTTTGTGTTTCAGTGTGTAAGTGGAGACAATTTTCTTTAAAATACCTCTCGTTTGTAAGAGGCATGTTAGTTCTGTCACAGATTTGTTTGGGCTGGTCCCATATCTTTCACAGACCTTGCGTTTATAGGGCTGAGCAGTGCGGAAGAAGGGTGGCCGTGATGGACTGCTGTCAGTGCTTTGGTGCGGGTGGAGGGTGCAGTCTGCCCTCCTCTTTTTGTTAAGGGGTCCTGAACTATCCCGTCCAGTCTCCTGGAAATGATGGTCACTCAAATCAGTGCAGAGTACACAAAGGCGTATTTAACAAGGTAAAATGTCAAAACAAAAACAAGACAACAACAACTCAAAAGAGAAAATCTGCTATATTAATGGTGTCCGTTTATACAGAAATGCTTGAGGGCCCAAAGGTGGTATCTTGTATACAGACATCTAACATGGGCGGCGTTTCAGGCCAACTTTACAGTCGTGGTGCATACAGCATCCAATGGCTGCGTGCCATGTCATTGACTGTGTAGTCAGGCTTCATATTGCTATATCATATGATGTGGTCAGCTGATAGGCCTACAGTATGTTAAACACCTACCCAGGTGCTGTGAGATCTGGCAGGCAACTGCAAAATAGTCAGCCTGAAATGTGACCTTGGTCTCTCACCTTGCAATGGGCATGTAGGCGGTTATAGTAGGCCCGGAAGTGTTTCCGTGTGTATGTGCTCCGATAGGCTCCTCCTATCAGGTACTCAATCACCTGCCCCATGTCTATGAGGGAGACTCTGTATCCTTTGGATATATGGGTCTACACACAAACAAACACACAAACACACCTGAGTATTTTTTAACTGAATATTTCCACTCGCAAAATACTGTAGACATACACATTCGACAAGCTAACATTTTCACCAAGTTTCACAATATTCACCTGTTTCACATCTTCCACGAGGTGATGGAGGAAATTGTCTGTTGGTCCCTGCTGCTATAAAAAAGAATGGCATGTCATGTCTTCATTATCCACAATCAACTCAGTAACCACCAAATGCAAACCAGACTTCAGTGGTTAGTTATCTGGATTACAATACAACATTTGTTCCTACGGAATGAAGTGATAGACCAGATGAAAAGTTATCCTTTCAACTTTTAGAAAAAAAACTTTGACAACTGTATATGATAATATATGGTGTTTCTTGTCTCCGTTTGAGCTTCATTATTTCCAAAGTTATGAATTATTTAATATTGTTTATAACTCCAAAGACCATCCACAGCTTTACTCATGACAAAGAGCTCTGTGATCTACAAAATATCTTCAAACTGTGGGAAAACCAAACAACCAATGAGAGACTTACACTGTATTACTGTGATTGCAATTACAACCACTGCTTTGGCAATTGTGGTATATGAGTTAGCTAATGTACTGTCAATAGGAAAACACAGAATTGCTTCTTTACGTACAGCATATCATATATTGTAACTCATAAATACAGAGCTGAAAAGATGACAAGAGAGAGAAAGTGATCAAGTCATTACCGTGTTATAGAGTTCTTCCAGGCGTGACACGGTCAGGAAGCGGTTCATTGTCATACCGTTGTCGATCAGGAGTTTGACAAAGCCGACCCGGTCCATGACCAGAGCATCCAGCATGGCCTGCTCCAACGAGCCTACCTAGACAGACAGACCACCAACACCACCATTCCATCAAGCCCACCATAAAGCCTGACTGCAATACCATCAAACACATAAACATTAACAACAAAAAAAGCACAGCAATTTCAGTTTACTTCCTGAATAAAATAAAATAAAAATTAAACAAGGACGCTCTAAACACTATGCAAACGGAGCGTAGTTTGCGTAGAGTTCTAAATCAAATCAAATTGTATTTGTCACATGCGCCGAATACAACAGCTGTAGACCTTACCGTGAAATGCTTACTTACAAGCCCTTAACCAACAATGCAGTTAAAAAAATAGAGTTAAGAAAATATTTAGTAAATAAACTAAAGTAAAAAATACAATAAAAAGTAACACAATAAAATAACAATACCGAGGCTATATACAGGGGGTACCGGTACCGAGTCAATGTACGGGGGTACAGGTTAGTCGAGGTAATTTGTACATGGGGGGGGGAGGGGGGGGGGGGGGTCAATGTAAATAGTCTGGGTGGCCATTTGATTAATATGTAGTTCCATGTACTTTTGTGCCGCTGAAGTTTTGGAACGGACCGTATACGACGCTCCGTCGGAACGTTTGATTAGCGTGTAGCAGGCTTAAGCAGCCTTGCCCTGCCTGCCCACTGGTCTGTCATACATTTACATTTGAGTCATTTAGCAGACGCTCCAGAGAGACTTATAGTTAGTGCATTCATCTTACAGTGGCTAGGAACGCCAACCACATCTCACAGTCATAGTAAATCAAACTTTTCTCAATAAAGAAGCTATCAGCAAAGTCAGTGCTAATAAGAAAATGCATTTTTTAGTGCAAAAAAGGTAAGTACAACGGTAGGGTGTGAGTTGTTTTGTTGTTGTTGTTTTTACCTGCCAGTGCTGGCCATACACCAGGATGTGTTTTTTAGCTATATCCGCTCGGTCCCACGCCAAAGCTGTACTGAGCTGCTCCGCAGGAGACGCCTTGGTGCCTGTCAATCATCACAACATCTGTGGCCTCAATCGCAACATCGGCCCTGCGTAACTTTTGTAGATCATGCATAGAACTATAGGTCCTTTGAGTGAAAACTCAGATTTCAAGTTGGGATTCAGCCCAGAGAACACATAGAACAGACAAGACAGGACTGGGTCAAGTCTCATCTGAGTATACTCAATGACATCACACATTCCAGTGAATGACACAGCCATAAAGGGCAGGAGAAGGTGTACCTTTCAGTGTGGCCGTCAAAATGGCGCAGTCTGCCTCCTGTTGATCCTCAGAGTCGAAGATTGTGATCTGTGTTTTATAAAGATAGAAATGGGTGAGGATGGGATGGTTTCCCCAGGTTAAACCTAGTCCTGGATTGAAAATCATTCTCAAAGGAGAATCTCAATTGAAAGTGCATTTTAGTCCATGACTAGGCTTAATCTGTGTCCGGGAAACCGGCCCACAGTCACATTACTCACAGACTGTCTGTAGTCCATACTCTCCATCAGAAGGTTGTAGAGCTGGCTGGCGTCTGCTCTCTCCAGACCAAACATGCCCCCTATCCTCAGCAGGAAGTCCTCCTTGATGTCTGTGTCCAGCACCCTGTATACAGTACCAACATAGTAAGCATATACTGGTGCACCAGTACACCAGTGAAGTAAGACATAGGCTAACAACCTTGGTCCTTTTGGCACAACCACATGCTAAGATCTGAGCTCTGGTTAGCAAGCTACCTCATACACATGCCTCCTCTCTCATTTCTCAGTTGGCATGTTTTGGCCCCCAAATACGGCCTGTGTTATGCCTCTGTACACCTAGATAGAGTATACAGGATACACACTGACTACGAAGATATATGAGCCCTGAGATTTTCCTCAGCCTGTAACCTGACCAGGTAAAACTCTGGGCCTCCCACTGGGTGAGGGCTCAGCAAACTTGCTTTAAAACGGCAACATTTTCTCTACTCCCCATGGCAAAATGTGCAGAATTGCAGGAAATTAACTTCAAAACAAAAAAATATATATTTTCGCTGTCACGAGGGGGGCCGCTAAAATGTTTTGCTCACAAGGCGGAGGTATGGATGTGGATACGGAGACGCACAAGCCACTGCAGCCCCTCATGATGAGTTAGGTTTTTTGTGGCCCCCACCCCCATCAAAGTTGCCAGTCCTTGCTCTACATCAGTGTTTCCCAAACTCGGTCCTCGGAACCCCAAGGGGTGCATGTTTTGGTTTTTGCCCTAGCACTACACAGCTGATTCAAACAATCAACTAATCATCAAGCTTTGATTATTTGAATCAGCTGTGTAGTACTAGAGTAAAAACCAAAACGTGCACCCCTAGGGGTCCCGAGGACCGAGTTTGGGAAACGCTGCTCTACATGAACACCAAAGTCTTCAACACGTAACAGCCATTATATGTATGACTACAGTGGTACTCCACACCTGTCCATAGCAGTCTGTTTGTGTAAGAATGCCAGCAAGTCAGCCGCCCGACCTGATCCCTCGAAGACAAACACAGGCACGGGGGGCACACTGCTCACGTACTCTAGCACCATGGACACAATGTCAGGGCCACCCTCCACCACCACACACACCACTGGCACACCCTGGTTAAGCCCTGCCAGAGAGAGAAACATCACACACACACAGACAGACAGACAGACAGACATACTGTTACACACGTGTATTACAATACTCTCTTTCTCACACACACACACTGCAATGCAATCTCTCTCTCTTTCTCACACACATTCACATACACATGCTCTCTCTTTTACACACACACAGTCACACACACACTCACTAGGGTGGATCTTCTGCAGTTGAATGTGTCTCTCCAGCTTCCTCCTCAGTCCCAGCTGGCAGCCATGTTTTCCCAGAGTTCCATCGTCCACTAACAGGAAGTGGGAGTGCAGGCCGTTCAGACACACCCTCTTACTCAAGGGGTTTCCCAGAGGCTGGTAAGGCCTGAGCACCTGGGTCAGGTATCAGAACACAGGTCAGAGAGCAGGCCAGAGAGAAAACAGAAGAGGGTATGGGATAGGCTAAGCGGGAAAGTGAGAGCACATGGCAGCTCAAGAAAGATAAAAGGTGACATTTTCATGGCGCAAATGAGTACAGATCCGTGCAAAAAATACTGCAAACCTTCTTATAATGTGAAAGTGTGATTTAATTTGAAACTTTCCTTAAAAGCACTGATATCTTTACAAAGAACAACACTCACATCTCTCCCTATAAGGTCACTGTGGTTGTCAATTACGCCCCAGGGCGTGACCCCTACAGCGTTCCTCTTCCTGAGGTCATGGGTGCCATATGTTTTCACAGCCTCCCCTACGTACCGGGACACACCTAGGAGGGGCAGATTCTCAGTCCACTTACATACATACGAACACATATAAACAGATCTACAACACATATTAACATGTAATACACACCACACACACAGTTTAATAAATGTAAGGTGAGACCAAAATCACACACATATGCTCACATCCACACGTGCTTACTGTCTTAGTTAAAGGCCAATTGCAAAATTCATCAGCGTTACCTGTGTTGATGCCGTCTGTGAGTATCCAGGCTCCAGTGCTCTGGGCTGCGGTGATCAGGCCTTTGCTGAAGGCCTGTCTAACCTTGAGGGGGAGGGGGAAGTTCTCTGCCCCCCCATGAACCGTCAACAGTAGTTTAGGACGTTCCATCTGCCACTCACTCCGCATCAGCTGCAGCAGAGCCTCAGGCTTGGAATCGACCGCAACACGAACGTACTGAATGGTCAACACATAAAGCATGGTCAGGTCAAACACATTCATATGAGATAACAGCTAGTCCTCGTTGGCATCCTATTTGGCATTACACTGCAGTTGGCATATTGCCCATTCACACAGATTGACACACAAACACCACATTTTTGTTACTCTGTGTTTCCGACGTCAAAAACCGTTCCTATCAAACTTCTAAATGGTAAATACAAGTGAGAATCTCAGGTAGCATCATTGCACTCCTAGTTTCCCCAGTTGGATATTTCTGAGTTCCGACTAGCACAGGAACGCAGCAATAGCTACAGACCTTGGCATGGCAGTTACGTCCAGCACTGTCCTGGAAGTCAATGGTTCCGTAGGCATCGGTGGCACTGGCTTGTGTGTGGCACTCCACTGACCACTCATCTTCCTGCCCTGCCCCAGGCCCAGGCCAGCTGGACATGGAGGGGCCAGTCTCCAGCCAGGTGTGCTCCCCTACCAGACGTCCACAGCAGCATCTGGGGGTTAGGGGGAGAGTGGCAAAACTCAAACCTTTCTGGTTGTAAAACATTGGCACAGAAATGAATTATTGTTCCTATAAATGTCATGATAGTATACCAAACATTAAGAACACCTTCCTAATATTAAGTTGCGCGCCCCCCCCCCCAAACCGGTGCGCCTGGCACCTACTACCATACCCAGTTCAAAGGCAAAAAATATATATACAAAATTCACCCTCTGAATGGCACACATACACAATCCATGTCTCAATTGTCTCAAAGCTTAAAAATCCTTCTTTAACCTGTCTCCTCCCTTTCATCTACACTGATTGAAGTGGATTTAACAAGTGACATCAATAAGGGATCATAGCTTTCACCTGGATTCACCTGGTCAGTCTATGTCATGGAAAGTTCTTAATGTTTTGTATACTCAGTAAATATGGAATTACTGTCTGTAAGTGTACTTTTACACTAAAATGGACAATCTCACTCTCAAAACATGCACACACACACAAACACACATACAGTCAGCAAAGTCATACCTTATTAGGTTTTGGCATACTTGACACATTGGAAAACATCTGCAATAAACAGGAAATGATACATCAGCAACATAACCGCTTTTCCTGGAACAGTTAGTATAGTTGCCAAAGGTTTTTGCATTTCTGCCTACCATGGTAAATATCATAATTCAAGCACTACTGTTAATTATCATATGAGATTTTGACACTGTTCAGCAAATCACCTGTGTAGGTCTCGGCATGCTGGGATGAATTTACCACAAGCTCTCTTGCAGAAGGTGTCTTCAATCCAAGACCTCCGTGACTGGAACACAACACACAACAAGTTAACACAACACTTTCTGGGGTGGAATACAATGGAAGCCTTGATACTATTAACAATTCTAACGCATAACAACCTTTTGAGAAGAATTTGTGAGAGACATCAATGCTGTGTTATCAGGCTAACAGAAGCTACCGAATGCTATATTCAACTATAAAAACATCAAACATATGTAGAACAGTCTGTTCATTTCTGGAGACTGAGAGAAAACCGAGACCATTGGACTGTAGCTCAGCTCTCTATTGCATTATTGTTCCTATAAATGTCATGATAGTATACACTGAGTATACCAAACATTAAGAACACCTTCCTAATATTAAGTTACTCCATATTCGTCAGAGCCTCAATCATGTATTTCCTGAAAGGCTCTTGCTCAACATGGGCCCAGCTCAAAATAGAAACATACACACATCCCTTTCCTGTGATTATCTGACATGATTCAGACCTTGAGTGTTCACTGTGTGTGTGTGTGTGTGTGTGTTTGTCAGTGGAGGCTCCTCAGAGGAGGAAGGGGAGAACCATCCTCCTCAGTGCATTTCACAAAAATATAAATAGTGAAACATTTAAAAAAGTTGTCCTTTTTAGATAAATCTATACGTCACCAAATAATTGATTAAAACACACTGTTTTGCAATGGTATACAGTAGCCTCAACAGCACTCTGTAGGGTAGCACCATGGTGTAGCCGGAGGACAGCAAGTTTCCGTCCTCCTCTGGGTACATTGACTTCAATACAAAACCTAGGAGGCTCATGGTTCTCACCCCCTTCCGTAGACTTACACAGTAATTATGACAACTTCCGGAGGACGACCTCCAACCTATCAGAGCTCTTGCAGCATGAACTGACATGTTGTCCAGTAAATCAAAGGACCAGAGAATGAATCTAGTACTGAAAGCATAAGCTACAGCTAGCAAGCACTGCTGTGCATAAAATGTGGTGAATAGTTGACTCAAAGAGAGAGACAATCTAACACTTTTGAACAAATTAATTTCTTTAAAAATGAAGGAAAAGCAAGCGAGGGAGCTTTATTTCCTTTTTTTTTCACTTTCACTTACTTAGCTAGCGAATGCAGCTAGCTAGTTTAGTTACTCAAACACCTGGCTCAAACAGAGAGGGATGCTATGTTAGCTAGCTGGCTATGGCTATCCAACACTGGAACTCTTCCAAGTCAAGGTAAGCTTTTGGTTTGATTAGTTTATTGCCACCGGGGCCCGCCGGTGTAACTGCTAAACTGCTTGCTGACTGTACACTGTACTGCATGATTGTAGCGGGTTTACTAACCCGTTCTATTAGCTATGTTGACTATGACATTAGCTAATATGGTGACAATGTAGGCTGTGTGTAGAGGTTAGCGGTTATGATATGAAGGTTTGGCTTGGAACGTTTTTTTTCGCCTGGTCACAGACAGCTGATGTGTTGTGCACAAGCGAAGGGAAAAGGTGAGAGGAGGAGAACGCATAGATGCAAGAAGGAATTATACAACGAGCAAAGTAATCATGCTGTTTGTATGTGGCTGCTATGAAAGTGAACTGTGTTTGCGTGTGATCAGAGGTGTATTCAATCCACCGATTCTGTTGAAAAACCTTTCTTAAAACGGAAACTAAATTCAGATAAACATACCTGAATTTGTCCAATAGAAACTCTTGTTTGCAACTGTTGGCTAATGATTACGCCCTAGATCAGCTAGACGCATAGATACAGGCAAGAGTGTGCAAGGCGGTATTGAATGTCACTATCTGTCTCACCTTGATTACTCTAATTTTTCTCTTGAGTTGTGCACCTACATTGTAAACTTTCATTCATAGGCTAGGTTGTAGCAACCCCATGATGGGTATTAAGAATATTTGATTATCATGTAGTAGCATAAACCTATTGATGTTACATTGAGTTGGGTGAATGGAATATGAATGACAGTCATCCAATATTCTGTAATAGAAATAAGGCCATGCTCATAAAAATAAATAATCGTCCTCCCTCATCTTAAACGGCTCTCACTGCCACTGGTGTGTGTGTGTGTGAGAGAGAAGAGAGATGGAGAGAGAGAAAGGAGAGCGATTTACCTTCATCATGGTCATCAACAAGCTCATCATTTACGCACCAAACAAGCTTTAAGCTTTTGATTTGCACACCCCACATTTTTGGGTTAGTGACAAATGTTTTCTCATAAACTTTGACTTCAGGTTTTTAGATTTTTAGGAAAAATCCACTCAAAAACTATATTTTGGTATTTATTTTCATTAATTTCATTAGCATTTTGCATCATAATGATGATGTGGCAAGTGACAATATCTTGAAAACTTGACTCCTGACATGCAAAACATTTTGGGACTGTATCAATAGCGGACTAATGAAAAAAATACCAAAGATTTTTGAGTGGGGTTTTCCTTTAACATTCATTTGGTCCGTTTTCGTCTCAGGCTCTGTGCACTGTACAAACAAATGCAATGTTTAGACAGCACATTGACAAGAATAGCAAGGAAGAGATAACATTGTTTTCTAGAAACACATGGTGACATAAAGAGAAAAGTAGAACAGGTTTGAAGGACAACGGTGTCGCGATAGATATGTGAGATGCGATGCCCCCTATAAATTCACTTAGCCTTACTTCACTCCGGTTTGACTTAATTATAAGAAGTTTATATAAGAAGCACTTGTATTATTATCTAATTATAAAGTATGACTGATTTAGAATCATTTGAGGACTTTTCAAATGAATTAAAAAAGTTAAATATTATCTTGCAATCAGTACTAATTTCAGTTAGGCTACAATTTTGTCATTTCATACAACTAATACTCATAGAAACTTGCTAATGAACTGCTTTCCATATGGGAAGCCATATAGATAATATAAAGACAACTTATCCAAACTTACCATTGTAGGAGCTGCATTCATATAGGCACACAAATTATCCTAACATAGATCCATGCGTATCCTTGACACAGGTATCCTATACAGTAATTAAACACATGGGTCATTCAGCTCCCCTGCTCCCTCATTGGCTGATCATTGTTGGAGAGAGGCTTTAACCAGGCCCTGGTCCAAGGGTCAGTCATTCCTTCACAAAGGCCTTGAAGAGCTCATGCTTTCCTCCACCATAAACACACTGGGAGAATCGCAATTGGATATGCTCGATTCCTCGCGTCCTCTCCTCGCCTCCTTTTGGAAAAGGTCAAAGTTAGTCGAGTCGAGGAAATGTGGAAACAAATGTGCTTGTATGAAATTACTCTCCTGTCCCACTAGCGTGTCATCAGGAAATTTACATTTACAGAGGAAGATTCCCAAAATACATATGTCTAGTGGTCAAAAGAAATGTAGCTAGTTATGCTAGATATTTTATATATAAAAGGATAAGTAGCATATCGTTTCTAAATGTGTGCATGCTATTCTACATGAGAAAACAATGGCTGATTCAAAGGGGATGTGGCAGATTTCAAAACTCTTCCACGGTAGGATACATTTACATTACATTTACATTTTTTGTCATTTAGCAGACGCTCTTATCCAGAGCGACTTACAGTTATCTTCCGTCGGCGGAGGCAATCGAGGAGAGGAGCAAAGAGAAGAGGAGGACGTAGGAGGACATCATTTTTCCCAATTGAGAAAAGGCCACTACGTCTGATTTGGAACTCCGGCTCTCTATTTACCACTTCACTAATTGTTGGTGGTGCTGCATACAGCTAGTGCTCATCAACCACCAATCAAATGCTTTTAAATCCATAATGGGGAGTGTGAAAGTGGACTTTGGGAAAATGATATGGCCTCTAGGAAAGCCCTTGGCACCCCTGTTTGGTCAAAGAGCATGGCTATCAGAGTGCAGTTAACATGAGTGCCGTCGATCACACTTCCCCTAACACCCATGGAATGAGTTGTGGTATGCTGCACTCCATTCTTTAAGGGAGTGCAGCGCCACCCATTGGTCATTTCAACAATAAACAGTATACAAAATTATAGTTTTATTTTACAAACGATAACTGTACAGACCAACACAGATGTCAAACTTGCCTTGTGATACCTACAGTGCCTTCAGAAAGTATTCATTCCCCTTGACTTATTCAACTCTTTTTTTTTGTGTCACAGCCGGACTTCAAAATGAATAAAAAATATTTATTTACCCCTTACCTCTCTACACACAATACCCCATAATGACGAAGTGAAAAAATGCCTCACAAAGAATGTACTGGTACTGTATAAAACATGTTGAGCAGCATTATACAGACTGAAGAGCAGACTTGTAAACAGTAACGACTTCCGTATGTTTGCCTTGCCTCAACGTAGACATTCATTGATTAATACATAAATTCTTTCATCCATCAATCCATCCATTTGGAATGTAATTAAAAGTAAAGAATCCGAATCATTACTAAAGTAGATAAATAAATGACTAGTCAACAGTAGAGAAATAAATGACCAGTCAACAGCTAGCAATGAACATGAATAACATCAAGCCCAGCTAGAGGAAAAACATAGTTTAGGTTTAGTTAAAATAAAATAGTGCATTAACTTTTATATAACATCAAAGCAGCCAAAGTGGGTTAATGTACCAAGTAACAACTAGCTGCATACGCAACACCTTCCATCCCAATACAATACAGGCTACATGAAGATAAAAAGGGGCACTGCAAGCATTTCATGACGCTATGCCAATGATTTACCTCCTAAAAGTAATAAAACATTTAGTGTGCAGTCTATAAACACTCTTACAAATACCGATCCCCAGGGGCGGACTGACATTTCTGACACACCGGCCCATTTTTTTCCTCGAGGCCCCCACACTGGCCCATTTTTGCCTTGAGGCCCCCATTATTCATCAAATAATTATCATTTTGCACACCAAAAAATTAACTAGTTAGACAGACCAACTGGGCTAAAAATGGACCAGCCCATCTGGCATTGGGCCAAAATGCCAGATGGCCAGTCCGCCCCTGCCGGTCCCCATAGGTGGAAATAATTTTCATCTGGTTTCATGCTGTAAGCCATATACAGTGCATTCGGAAAGTATTCAGACCCCTTCACTTTTTCCACATTTTGTTATGTTACAGCCTTATTCTAAAATTGATTAAATTGTTGTTTTCCCCCCCCCCTCATCAATCTACACACAATACCCCATAATGACAAAGCAAAAACACGTTTTTAGAAATGTTTAGAAATGTATTAAAAATAAAAAAACTGTAATATCACATTTACATAAGAATTCTGACCCTTTACTCAGTACTTTGTTGAAGCACCTTTGGCAGCAATTACAGCCTCGAGTCTTCTTGGGTATGACGCTACAAGCTTGGCACACCTGTATTTGTGGAGTTTCTCCCAAGCTCTGTCAGGTTGAATGGGGAGCATTGCTGCACAGCTATTTTCAGGTCTCTCCAGAGATGTTTGATCAGGTTCAAGTCCGGGCTCTGGCTGAGCCACTCAACGACATTCAGAGACTTGTCCTGAAGCCACTCCTGCGTTGTCTTGGCTGTGGGCTTACGCTTTGAACACACCAACTGCGTCATTGCGTTTTGGTATACCAGAAGTACATTAATTTCCAATGGAACGCTGCGTTTGCTTTGCGGCATTGCGTTGCAGAGGCAGTGCGTTCTGTGTGGTGCATATGTTGGATATATCGAACGTATGCGTCAAACTGTATGCGTAAACGGGTTGACAGAAATGGCAGCAGAAGGTGAATGTTGAACTTTTGTTGCACACATATCTAGATGATGCTGCATACTATTTTGCGCAATGACGCAGTCGGTGTGTTCGAAGCGTTAGGGTCGTTGTCCTGTTGGAAGGTGAACCTTCGCCCCAGTCTGAGGTCCTGAGCGCTCTGGAGCAGGTTTTCATCAAGGATCTCTCTATACTTTGCTCTGTTCATCTTTCCCTCGATCCTGACTCCAAGTCCCTGCTGCTGAAAAACATCCCCACAGCATGATGCTGCCACCACCATGCGTCACCGTAGGGATGGTGTCAGGTTTCCTCCAGACGTCCCGCTTGGCATTCAGGACAAAGAGTTCAATCTTGGTTTCATCTGACCAGAGAATCTTGTTTCTCATGGTCTGAGAGTCTTTAGGTGCCTTTTGCAAACTCCAAGCGGGCTGTCATGTGCCTTTTACTGAGTGGCTTCCGTCTGGCCACTCTACCATAAAGGCCTGATTAGTGGAGTGCTGCAGAGATGGTTGTCCTTCTGGTAGGTTCCCCCATCTCCACAGAGGAACTCTGGAGCTCTATCAGAGTGACCATCGGGTTCTTGGTCACCTCCCTAACCAAGGCCCTTCTCCCCCGATTGCTCAGTTTGGCCGGGAGGCCAGCTCTAGGAAGAGTCTTGGTGGTTCCAAACATCTTCCATTTAAGAATGATGGAGGCCACTGTGTTCTTAGGGACCTTCAATGCTGCAGAAATGTGTTGGTACCCTTCCCCAGATCTGTGCTTCGACACAATCCTGTCTCGGCGCTCTACAGACAATTCCTTAGACCTCATGGCTTGGTTTTTGCTCTGACGTGTACTGTCAACTGTGGGACCTTATATAGACAGGTGTGTGCCTTTTAATTTACCACAGGTGGACTCCAATCAAGTTGTAGAAACATCTCAAGGATGATCAATGGAAACAGGATACACCTGATCTCAATTTCGAGTCTCATAGCAAAGGGTCTGAATACTTATGTAAGTAAATAAGGTATTTTTGTTTTTTCTTTGTCATTATGGGGTATTGTGTGTAGATTGATGAGGGAAAAAAATTATGTAATCAATTTTAGAATAGGGCTGTAATGTAAGAAAAAGTGGAAAAAGTCAAGGGGTCTGAATACTTTCCGAATGCACTGGATGTGTATCTTTATCCTTGTGTTCAAAGCAGGTACAATAACCATGTAGCATACACAATGCCTGATCTGGTAGCTAGATTTTGGAGTTACTGTCTTTTTAGAGTATGGTGGGCATTGTGGAAGTTTGAGTTTAGTATACTGTAGGTGTTCTATAGTGTGTCATTATGGCTTATCTGTATGATGTGTGAATTGGTGGCGAGCAGAACCATTCGTCTACTCCAGGGGTTCTCAAACTTTTTGGGGCAGGGGACCCCTTTTGTGATATCAGGGACCCCCTCATAATCAGAACACAACTCGAGTGTGATAAAAATAGCATACAAGGAGTTTTAGTATGATGTCTGCAGTGCATGACTTAACGAACCAAGTCTTGGGCCCGGTGAAAGAACATTTAAAAAGGCCTCTTGGCATCGGAGAGAAAATGTTTAAGTTTCCAAGCAAATTTCCTGCAATTCTACACATTGTGTCACGGGGCAGAGATGTTTTGTTGTTGCAGCTTTAAAAGATAATATCCTGCAATTGCCATGAGGCAGAGAGGTAACGTTGCGGTTTTAAAGCTTAAATTACGGTGCATTTATGTAAAAATAAAAATTGGGGGGGAAATAGTATTGAGTTGACAAATTGATTATTTGTGGAGTACTGTGGATACCCAATATCCCTGTGAGCCTCCCAGGTCCATGTTGCCCAGGGTTAAGAACATACATTGTAGATTAATAATATTACATTGTATTACACACTTTACACTTATTCCACAGATCCCTTGGCCAAAAGCAGTTTAATATAATGTTAGTAATATTCATTTAAAAACATTTAAGGTCATTTCATATACAGTATATATTTTGAGATCTGGCCAGGTGTCCACGTACCCCACTTTGAGAACCCCTGGTCTACACAGTATAGATCTAAATCTATGGCTCTGATGGGCATCATGTGTCTGGTGGGAGAAGCTATAGGAGGCCAGGCTCATAGTAATGGCTGGAATGGAATAAATGAAACAGTATCAAACACATCACACATGGAAACCACATGTTTGACTCCATTCCATTAATTATATTCAAGCCATTACAATGAGCCCATCCTCCTATAGCACCTCCCACCAGCCTCCACCTCTCATATAAGAGTTCCATGGTGGGCAGACCTTCATGAATTAAATTTATGACTCCATGGCATCACAGGATAAGTCTTTGGCAGGAGGTTCTCCATTTGATCCAGAGAGGTTTCCATTCTGTAGGAGTGAAATGTCCAGCTCAGGTAGAGGGACCCTCCAGTACTGGAATGAGTTGAAAGTGCATAGGTCATTGCCATCAGTATCATCTTTGTGTGTGACCTAGAGGTGAAAGGAAGAGCGTTTAATAATTCCTTCATGGAAAATAAACAAAGTGTTGTAGTGGTGACTTAAGAAGTTTTTTTTTTTTTAGGGGGTAGATCAGCTGTAATATTTCAGATAGATTGTAACTTCCATCAATGTAATTGTCTGCATCACTTCCAATCCCCCATATGTTTTTTTTCCTCGCAAATATACACACACACATATATACACAGTATCTCACAAAAGTGAGTACACCCCTCACATTTTTGTAAATATTTGAGTATATCTTTTCATGTGACAACACTGAAGAAATGACACTTTGCTACAATGTAAAGTAGTGAGTGTACAGCTTGTATTACAGTGTAAATTTGCTGTCCCCTCAAAATAACACAACACACAGCCATTCATGTCTAAACCACTGGCAACAAAAGTGAGTACACCCCTAAGTGAAAATGTCCAAAGTGTCAATATTTTGTGTGGCCACCATTATTTTCCAGTACTGCCTTAACCCTCTTGGGCATGGAGTTCACCAGAGCTTCACAGGTTGCCACTGGAGTCCTCTTCCACTCCTCCATGACGACATCACGGAGCTGGTGGATGTTAGAGACCTTGCACTCCTCCACCTTCCGTTTGAGGATGCCCCACAGATGCTCAATAGGGTTTAGGTCTGGAGACATGCTTGGCCAGTCCAATACCTTTACCCTCAGCTTCTTTAGCAAGGCAGTGGTCGTCTTGGAGGTGTGTTTGGGGTCGTTATCATGTTGGAATACTGCCCTGCGGCCCAATCTCCGAAGGGAGGGGATCATGCTCTGCTTCAGTATGTCACAGTACATGTTGGCATTCATGGTTCCCTCAATGAACTGTAGCTCCCAAGTACCGGCAACACTCATGCAGCCCCAGACCATGACACTCCCACCACCATGCTTGACTGTAGGCAAGACACACTTGTCTTTGTACTCCTCACCTGGATGCCGCCACACACGCTTGACACCATCTGAACCAAATATGTTTATCTTGGTCTCATCAGACCACAGGACATGGTTCCAGTAATCCATGTCCTTAGTCTGCTTGTCTTCAGCAAACTGTTTGCAGGCTTTCTTGTGCATCATCTTTAGAAGAGGCTTCCTTCTGGGACGACAGCCATGCAGACCAATTTGATGCAGTGTGCGGTGTATGGTCTGAGCACTGACAGGCTGACCCTCCACCCCTTCAACCTCTGCAGCAATGCTGGCAGCACTCATACGTCTATTTCCCAAAGACAACCTCTGGATATGATGCTGAGCACGTGCACTCAACTTCTTTGGTCGACCATGGCGAGGCCTGTTCTGAGTGGAACCTGTCCTGTTAAACCGCTGTATGGTCTTGGCCACCGTGCTGCAGCTCAGTTTCAGGGTCTTGGCAATCTTCTTATAGCCCAGGCCATCTTTATGTAGAGCAACAATTCTTTTTTTCAGATCCTCAGAGAGTTCTTTGCCATGAGGTGCCATGTTGAACTTCCAGTGACCAGTATGAGGGAGTGTGAGAGCGATGACATCAAATTTAACACACCTGCTCCCCATTCACACCTGAGACCTTGTAACACTAACGAGTCACATGACACCGGGGAGGGAAAATGGCTAATTGGGCACAATTTTGGACATTTTCACTTAGGGGTGTACTCACTTTGTGTTGAGTTATTTTGAGGGGACAGCAAATTTACACTGTTATACAAGCTGTACACTCACTACTTTATATTGTAGCAAAGTGTCATTTCTTCAGTGTTGTCACATGAAAAGATATACTCAAATATTTACAAAAATGTGAGGGGTGTACTCACTTTTGTCATATATACAGTGGGGAGAACAAGTATTTGATACACTGCAGATTTTGCAGGTTTTCCTACTTACAAAGCATGTAGAGGTCTGTAATTTTTATCATAGGTACACTTCAACTGTGAGAGACGGAATCTAAAACAAACATCCAGAAAATCACATTGTATGATTTTTAAGTAATTAATTTGCATTTTATTGCATGACATAAGTATTTGATCACCTACCAACCAGTAAGAATTCCGGCTCTCACAGACCTGTTAGTTTTTCTTTAAGAAGCCCTCCTGTTCTCCACTCATTACCTGTATTAACTGCACCTGTTTGAACTCGTTACCTGTATAAAAGACACCTGTCCACACACTCAAACAGACTCCAACCTCTCCACAATGGCCAAGACCAGAGAGCTGTGTAAGGACATCAGGGATAAAATTGTAGACCTGCACAAGGCTGGGATGGGCTACAGGACAATAGGCAAGAAGCTTGGTGAGAAGGCAACAACCTAGAACTACACGGCAGGACCTGGTCAATGACCTGAAGAGAGCTGGGACCACAGTCTCAAAGAAAACCATTAGTAACACACTACGCCGTCATGGATTAAAATCCTGTAGCACACGCAAGGTCCCCCTGCTCAAGCCAGCGCATGTCCAGGCCCGTCTGAAGTTTGCCAATGACCATCTGGATGATCCAGAGGAGGAATGGGAGAAGGTCGTGTGGTCTGATGAGACAAAAATAGAGCTTTTTGGTCTAAACTCCACTTGCCGTGTTTGGAGGAAGAAGGATGAGTACAACCCCAAGAACACCATCCCAACCGTGAAGCATGGAGGTGGAAACATCATTCTTTGGGGATGCTTTTCTGCAAAGGGGACAGGACGACTGCACCGTATTGAGGGGAGGATGGATGGGGCCATGTATCGCGAGATCTTGGCCAACAACCTCCTTCCCTCAGTAAGAGCATTGAAGATGGGTCGTGGCTGGGTCTTCCAGCATGACAACGACCCGAAACACACAGCCAGGGCAACTAAGGAGTGGCTCCGTAAGAAGCATCTCAAGGTCCTGGAGTGGCCTAGCCAGTCTCCAGACCTGAACCCAATAGAACATCTTTGGATGGAGCTGAAAGTCCGTATTGCCCAGCGACAGCCCCGAAACCTGAAGGATCTGGAGAAGTTCTGTATGGAGGAGTGGGTCAAAATCCCTGTTGCAGTGCAAACCTGGTCAAGACCTACAGGAAACGTATGATCTCTGTAATTGCAAACAAAGGTTTCTGTACCAAATATTAAGTTCTGCTTTTCTGATGTATCAAATACTTATGTCATGCAATAAAATGCAAATTAATTACTTAAAAATAATACAGTGTGATTTTCTGGATTTTTGTTTTAGATTCCGTCTCTCACAGTTGAAGTGTACCTATGATAAAAATTACAGACCTCGACATGCTTTGTAAGTAGGAAAACCTGCAAAATCGGCAGTGTATCAAATACTTGTTCTCCCCACTGTGTGTGTGTGTGTATATATATATACACATACATACATACACACACACACACACATACATACATACAGTGAGGGAAAAAAGTATTTGATCCCCTGCTGATTTTGTACGTTTGCCCACTGACAAAGACATGATCAGTCTATAATTTTAATGGTAGGTTTATTTGAACAGTGAGAGACAGAATAACAACAAAATCCAGAAAACGCATGTCAAAAATGTTTATAAATTGATTTGCATTTTAATGAGGGAAATAAGTATTTGACCCCTCTGCAAAACATGACTTAGTACTTGGTGGCAAAACCCTTGTTGGCAATCACAGAGGTCAGACGTTTCTTGCAGTTGGCCACCAGGTTTGCACACATCTCAGGAGGGATTTTGTCCCACTCCTCTTTGCAGATCTTCTCCAAGTCATTAAGGTTTCGAGGCTGTCGTTTGGCAACTCGAACGTTCAGCTCCCTCCACAGATTTTCTATGGGATTAAGGTCTGGAGACTGGCTAGGCCACTCCAGGACCTTGAGATGCTTCTTCTTGAGCCACTCCTTTGTTGCCTTCGCCGTGTGTTTTGGGTCATTGTCATGCTGGAATACCCATCCACGACCCATTTTCAATGCCCTGGCTGAGGGAAGGAGGTTCTCACCCAAGATTTGACAGTACATGGCCCCATCCATCGTCCCTTTGATGCGGTGAAGTTGTCCTGTCCCCTTAGCAGAAAAACACCCCCAAAGCATAATGTTTCCACCTCCATGTTTGACGGTGGGGATGGTGTTCTTGGGGTCATAGGCAGCATTCCTCCTACTCCAAACACGGCGAATTGAGTTGATGCCAAAGAGCTCGATTTTGGTCTCATCTGACCACAACACTTTCACCCAGTTCTCCTTTGAATCATTCAGATGTTCATTGGCAAACTTCAGACGGGCATGTATATGTGCTTTCTTGAGCAGGGGGACCTTGCGGGCGCTGCAGGATTTCAGTCCTTCACTGCGTAGTGTTACCAATTGTTTTCTTGGTGACTATGGTCCCAGCTGCCTTGAGATCATTGACAAGATCCTCCCGTGTAGTTCTGGGCTGATTCCTCACCGTTCTCATGATCATTGCAACTCCACGAGGTGAGATCTTGCATGGAGCCCCAGGCCGAGGGAGATTGACAGTTCTTTTGTGTTTCTTCCATTTGCGAATAATCACACCAACTGTTGTCACCTTCTCACCAAGCTGCTTGGCGATGGTCTTGTAGCCCATTCCAGCCTTGTGTAGGTCTACAATCTTGTCCCTGACATCCTTGGAGACTTCTTTGGTCTTGGCCATGGTTGAGAGTTTGGAATCTGATTGATTGATTGCTTCTGTGGACAGGTGTCTTTTATACAGGTAACAAGCTGAGATTAGGAGCACTCCCTTTAAGAGTGTGCTCCTAATCTCAGCACGTTACCTGTATAAAAGACACCTGGAAGCCAGAAATCTTTCTGATTGAGAGGGGGTCAAATACTTCCCTCATTAAAATGTTAAACAAATATATAACATTTTTGACGTGCGTTTTTCTGGATTTTTTTGTTGTTATTCTGTCTCTCACTGTTCAAATAAACCTACCATTAAAATGATAGACTGATCATTTCTTCGTCAGCAGGCAAACGTACAAAATCAGCAGGGGATCAAATACTTTTTCCCCCTCACTGTACATACATACACACACACACATATATACATACATATATACATACATCCATCCATACACACATATCCTTTTTGAAATTATATTTCCCTTCATTACTTTCCAACCCTACCACCCCTTCCCCAATTGGAGTAAACTAGTGAACAACAACGCTTAGACCTCTACTTCCAGCCCATACATACTATATACATTTTATGGACACAGTCAAATTCTACAATAATTATATTTTGTTTGTTTTTACTCCTGAACTTCCTCCGATCATTTTCATGATGTCCATCTGGTTTGCTTCTATATGCCATATTTTTCTAACTGTGCTCTTTCACAAAAGCTCTCAACCTATAACATATATACTTATTATGGACACAGTATGCTTTACATTAGTTATCTTGTTGTTATTAGTTGTTGTTATTAGTCCCATCCTTCAGCTCCATTCAACACCTCCCATCTATCTCGTAAACAACATCCATATTGGATTCTATTTGCCATATCTTTTTCAACTGTACTGTGATGTTTTACAAAAGTTCTGAACCTTTCTATTATCATTGTTTCTACAGATCGCAAATTGAATATAAACATTTTTGCTAAAAGTATTATTATATTATTGATCGATTGACTGACTTTTCAGATCACCCAGTAGTGCTATCTGCAGGGTTAGCTCCAGGTAAATATTGCAATCCTTTAGCCATTCCTGGACCTGTGTCCAAAAACAAGCTACAAAGGGACAGTACCAAAACAAATGATCTAATGATTCTGTCTCTTCACAGCAAAATCTGCAGAGCTGGGAAGATTGTATCCCCCATATAAATAACATTATATTGGTAGCAAGAATTTTAAATAATTTAAATTGAAAAATTATACGTTTTGAATCCGCCATCGTTTTGCGTGCAATTAATAAACACTATGCCATGGAATTGGTATGTCAAAAATCTATTCCCAACTAATTTGCAATCTATATGGGACGGCTGTCAATCCTTTGGTCCTTAAATGAAACTGGTATACTTTTTTATTTATCAAAAATTTCTTTAAACAATTATATTCTTTAATCCAAGGCCGACAGACAAGTTCCTTACTTTTCCCCCCCTTCCACTTTCCTTTTCCATTTTTGCGGTAATGCTGCAATTATTTGGTTGTAATTTTGGGTAGAGCAGACATTTCCATATGTTTTTGTTAGCTGCATGTGCAACATAACTCCACCAGTCCTACCGATAATATAATTTACGAAGATTATACCTTTTTTTTTTTTTTTGGGTCAAAAATCCACAACACAATATTTGTTGCATTATTTGTTCTGTCGTTTCTGGAGGATTAAATTGAAATTGCAACCAACTTTCTATGGCTTGTTTTAGAAATAGTGATATTTGGGAGATTATTTCCTTTTCAAATAACTGAAAGTGAGAGGTTGTAATCTGAATAAAGGGAAAAAGGCCATTCTTGAACATTGGGTGAGACAATTTTACTAATTTGCTAGAGAACCAGTTCAGATTTAAGTATAACTTTTGTATGACTGAAGCTTTTAGTGATAGGTCTAATGCTTTAATATTTAATCATTTCTGTCCTCCGAATTCATATTCATTATATAAATAGGCCCGTTTAATTTAATCAGGGTGATTTTTCCACAAATTGACAGGTATTTTCCTTTCCATGGTAGTAAGATCTTATCTATTTTTGCTAACTTTCTATTAAAATGTATTGAAGTGAGATCATTTATTTCATTTGGGATATGTATTCCGAGTATATCCACATCACCATCACCCATTTTATTGGTAAACTACATGGTAATGTAAAATTTTATTTTTTAGTGATCCAATACGTAATATAGTACATTTATCATAATTTGGTTGTAATCCAGAGAGGTTAGAAAATGTATCTAGATCCTCTGATTTAAGAACGTAATTAGTGACATGGTTTGAAAGGAAGAATGGGTACTGACAAAATACAACATCTTGTGGACAGCGTAAGTATTGCGCTCAATGGATGTTGATTACAACTTCAACCTTGTGCAGTTTGTTCCAGTATACACTATCTAGGCAGCAGTAGCATATACTTACCATCCTTGGAGCATCGTATCTAGTGACAGTGTAATCTCGTGCACGTTTCTTGGAGGTCACCGTTGAGCAACCAGAGTTCGCAGATGCACTTTTCTCTCGGAAACTTCCAGAATTATTTACCAGCACACTCTCTGGTGCACTGACCCGATGCTCACTAGTTGAAAGCTTGCGCGGTTTCAGTGTTTCTTGCTGTTCCTCCAGATCTTCGAAATAATACGGTCTCTTTTTGCAGCGTCTCCCCAACAAAGCGAGCAGCGATGGCGGACTCGCGCACCCGGCTGCAGCCATGCTTTCTAACTGCGTATCAATTTTGTCATGTGGACGAAAACATGATCTTTTAACAGGCGTGTCGTGGAACAAAACGTCTTCAGCTTGCCTTTTCGTCATGAGTACAAGTTGTCCAAATATTTCAGACTGCCAGGTAAAGTTTGCGTGGAATCTTCCAAGCAGCAACAACAGGTATCAATGTTTTGACTGAGCTGCGCACAAGTTACTGTGTAAATTACACACACGCGGTCTGGCCAATAGATGGGTCGTCACAAGTTAACACAGCCACAATGTCATAAATCCCGCCTATTTCTACAAAAAAATTAAATCTGATTTTAAACGATTAGTTACCTGAGTGTAACTCCAGTTCTATGAGTGGAGCGGAGCACCACACTGCTGACCTTATGCCTAACCTTATATTAAGACCTAAAAGCATGTTTGTTTTCATGAAATGTAACGATACAGCAAATGTTGCCTTTGTAGCTGTGTTACCTAGTGGAAACCAATGAGAGGATGTATCGGTCCTCTGTTCCCGCCCACCACTATCAAGGCTCTTCTCCACCCCCACCAACAGGGTTAGTAGGGTTAGTGCTATCTGGAATCATTGGGACGTTCCTACCCCAAACCTTCTTTTTACAGTCCATCTATCTATGTCCTACTCCCCTCAAACGCAACTCTGGACCTCGGAGCCAGTTCCACTGTATTTTTTTTTTTTCATTGTTCCCTTCTAATCAGGGACTGATTTAGACCTTGTACGCCAGGTGGGTGAAATTAATTATCAGGTAGAACAGAGAACCAGCTGGCTCCAGTCGGACGTTGTAGGGTAAGAGTGGAATACCCCTGCCCTAAACATTTAACATTAGAATTTCAAATGGGGTAGTGACGTCCGAAGGATTCCGTATAGCAAGGATAGCTCCACCTACCGTTTCAAGTTTGTCACGTGCACAAGTACAGGGAAATGTATTTTTTGATTGCTTTTTCCCAACAATGCAGTAATAAATATCAGTAGTACTATATCATTTGTATAAATAAAAATGTCAAGTAGAACCAAAACACATGATAAATATAAATAATAACAACATGAAAGTAAATAAGATATACAGAGGATCAGTTCCAGGGTCAGTGCCAATACCATATTTACAATGTGCAGGGATACTGGGGTGGTAGGGGTAGGTATCAGTGGCGGCTCCTCAGAGGAGGAAGGGGAGGACCATCCTCCTCAGTGAATTTCATAAAAATAAAAATAGTAAAACATTGAAAACGTTATCCTTTTTAGATATATTCAGGTCACCAAATAATTGATTAAAAAACACTGTTTTGCAATGGTGTACAGTAGCCTCAACAGCACTCTGTAGGGTAGCACCATGGTGTAGCCGGAAGACAGCTAGCTTCCGTCCTCCTCTTGGTACATTGACTTCAATACAAAACCTAGGACGCTCTTGGTTCCCACCCCCTTCCATAGACTTACACAGTAATTATGACAACTTCCGGAGGATGTCCTCCAACCTATCAGAGCTCTTGTAGCATGAACTGACATGTCCACCCAATCAAAGGATCAGAGAATGAATCTAGTACTGGTAGCATAAGCTACAGCTAGCTAGCACTGCAGTGCATAAAATGTGGTGAGTAGACTCCAAGAGAGAGAAAGAAAATAGTTGAACAGTTTAACAAATTAATGTATTCAAAAATGAAGGCGACGCAAGAGAGAGAGATCTCATTTTATGAATGTTTCTTAAACGGAAGCAAACGAAACGGGGATAAAAATACCTGAATTTGTCCAATAGAAACTCTAGTTTGCAACTGTTGGACTAATGATTACACCCTAGATAAGCTAGATGCAGGCAAGAGTGTGCAAGGCGGTATTGAATGTGTCACTGTCTGTCCATGTGTCACTATCTGTCATATCAAATTTCTCTCGACCTGTGTGCACCTACGTTGTAAACTTTCATTCATAGGCTAGGTTGTAGCAACCTCGTGATGGGTATAGGGAAAATTAGAGTATCATGTAATAGCCTAAACCGATCAATGTTACATTGAACAGGGTGAATGGAATATGAATGACAGTCATCCAAAATGCTGTAATATAAATAAGGCCCATATTTTTTTTGTTGTCCTCATCATAAACGGCACTGAACACCACTGGTAGGTACAGTGGCTTGCGAAAGTATTCAACCCCCTTGGCATTTTTCCTATTTTGTTGCCTTATTTTTTATTTATTTTTTCACCTTTATTTAACAACATGGAATTGAAATAGATTTTTGGGGGGTTTGTATCATTTGATTTACTCAACATGCCTACCGCTTTGAAGATGCAAAATATTTTCACAAGAAATAAGAGAAAAAAACAGAACTTGAGCGTTCATAACTATTCACCCAGGAGGATCTGCCACCATCATGCTTCACTGTGGGGATGGTGTTCTCGGGGTGATGAGAGGTGTTGGGTTTGCGCCAGACATAGCGTTTTGCTTGATGGCCAAAAAGCTCAATTTTAGTCTCATCTGACCAGAGTACCTTCTTCCATATGTTTGGGGAGTCTCCCACATGCCTTTTGGTGAACACCAAACGTGTTTCTTTAAGCAATGGCTTTTTTCTGGCCACTCTTCCATAAAGCCCAGCTCTATGGAGTGTACGGCTTAAAGTGATCCTATGGACAGATACTCCAATCTCCGCTGTGGAGCTTTGCAGCTCCTTCAGGGTTATCTTTGGTCTCTTTGTTGCCTATCTGATTAACGCCCTCCTTACCTGGTCCGTGAGTTTTGGTGGGCGGCCCTCTCTTGGCATGTTTGTTGTGGTGCCATATTCTTTCCATTTGTAAATAAAGGATTTAATGGTGCTCCGTGGGATGTTCAAAGTTTCTGATATTTTTTTATAACCCAACCCTGATCTGTACTTCTTCACAACTTTGTCCCTGACCTGTTTGGAGAGCTCCTTGGTCTTCATGGTTCCGCTTGCTTGGTGGTGCCCCTTGCTTAGTGGTGTTGCAGACTCTGGGGCCTTTCAGAACAGGTATATATACAGTGGGGAGAACAAGTATTTGATACACTGCCGATTTTGCAGGTTTTCCTACTTACAAAGCATGTAGAGGTCTGTCATTTTTATCATAGGTACACTTCAACTGTGAGAGACGGAATCTAAAACAAAAATCCAGAAAGTCACATTGTATGATTTTTAAGTAATTAATTTGCATTTTATTGCATGACATAAGTATTTGATCACCTACCAACCAGTAAGAATTCCGGCTCTCACAGACCTGTTAGTTTTTCTTTAAGAAGCCCTCCAGTTCTCCACTCATTACCTGTATTAACTGCACCTGTTTGAACTCGTTACCTGTATAAAAGACACCGGTCCACACACTCAATCCGCTCCACAATGGCCAAGACCAGAGAGCTGTGTAAGGACATCAGGGATAAAATTGTAGACCTGCACAAGGCTGGGATGGGCTACAGGACAATAGGCAAGCAGCTTGGTGAGAAGGCAACAACTGTTGGTGCAATTATTAGAAAATGGAAGAAGTTCAAGATGACGGTCAATCACCCTCGGTCTGGGGCTCCATGCAAGATCTCACCTCGTGGGGCATCAATGATCATGAGGAAGGTGAGGGATCAGCCCAGAACTACACAGCAGGACCTGGTCAATGACCTGAAGAGAGCTGGGACCACAGTCTCAAAGAAAACCATTAGTAACACACTACGCCGTCATGGATTAAAATCCTGCAGCGCACGCAAGGTCCCCCTGCTCAAGCCAGCGCATGTCCAGGCCCGTCTGAAGTTTGCCAATGACCATCTGGATGATCCAGAGGAGGAATGGGAGAAGTTCATGTGGTCTGATGAGACAAAAATAGAGCTTTTTGGTCTAAACTCCACTCGCTGTGTTTGGAGGAAGAAGAAGGATGAGTACAACCCCAAGAACACCATCCCAACCGTGAAGCATGGAGGTGGAAACATCATTCTTTGGGGATGCTTTTCTGCAAAGGGGACAGGACGACTGCACCGTATTGAGGGGAGGATGGATGGGGCCATGTATCGCGAGATCTTGGCCAACAACCTCCTTCCCTCAGTAAGAGCATTGAAGATGGGTCGTGGCTGGGTCTTCCAGCATGACAACGACCCGAAACACACAGCCAGGGCAACTAAGGAGTGGCTCCGTAAGAAGCATCTCAAGGTCCTGGAGTGGCCTAGCCAGTCTCCAGACCTGAACCCAATAAAAAATCTTTGGAGGGAGCTGAAAGTCCGTATTGCCCAGCGACAGCCCCGAAACCTGAAGGATCTGGAGAAGGTCTGTATGGAGGAGTGGGCCAAAATCCCTGCTGCAGTGTGTGCAAACCTGGTCAAGACCTACAGGAAATGTATGATCTCTGTAATTGCAAACAAAGGTTTCTGTACCAAATATTAAGTTCTGCTTTTCTGATGTATCAAATACTTATGTCATGCAATAAAATGCAAATTAATTACTTAAAAATCATACAGTGTGATTTTCTGGATTTTTGTTTTAGATTCCGTCTCTCACAGTTGAAGTGTACCTATGATAAAAATTACAGACCTCGACATGCTTTAAGTAGGAAAACCTGCAAAATCGGCAGTGTATCAAATACTTGTTCTCCCCACTGTATACTGAGATCATGTGACAGATCATGTGACACTTAGATTGCACACAGGTTGACTTTATTTAACTAATTATGTGACTTCTGAAGGTAATTGGTTGCACCGGATCTTATTTAGGGGCTTCATAGCAAAGGGGGTGAAAGGGGGTGAATACATATGCACGCACCACTTTTCCGTTATTTATTTGTTAGAATTTTTTGAAACAAGTTATTTTGTTCTTTTCACTTCACCAATTTGGACTATTTTGTGTATGTCCATTACATGAAATCCAAATAAAAATCAATTTAAATTACAGGTTGTAATGCAACAAAATAGGAAAAACGCCAAGGGGGATGAATACTTTTGCAAGGCACTGTATGTACGACCCTGCCTTACACAGGAAGCGGCACAGGTCCTAATCCAGGCACTTGTCATCTCCCGT